TTCTCATAACTTTTCTCACTTGATCTTCCACAGTAATATCTTTTCCAGGTGCTGAAAGCTCATTTATAATATTAGTAAAGCGTGTAATCATATCCCTAAACGACTCTTTAGGTTTCATCACGAACAATTCGTAATTACGCATAAATATGTCAATTTTGGATCTTTTTACACGCGAGGTACCCTCATGCGTAACCTCGAGTAAATCCCACATTTTCTTTTGCGGATTTGCATCCAAGAACCCGGTTGTGCTCAGCCGGACCAAGTCCACAAATCAAATATTTCAATGCTTGGGCATTATGCTCGAGTTTACGATAATCATCAGAAGTATATTCAGATTTGGATTTAGAGATAACCTTACCTTCGGCATCCTCCTTAGTGATGATGTTATCGCCTACCTCAATTACGTTCCATACCTGGTAGTTCTCAGCCTTGATGAAGTTCTCCATTCGACTCTTCCAGAATTGGTAAAATTTGTCGTTGAACAACGGTGGTCGTTGAGTCGAGTATCCTTCCTCCAATCGTTCAACCGTATTCATGTTGCCGGATCTCTTCCCAAGGTATTAACCTTTATGTGGCGAAGACCGTCTCTGATACCAATTGATGAAACGGTTAGCAACACAAGAGGGGGGGTGAATTGTGTGTGTGTGGAACCGTGGCAGATTTTCGTACAGTTCTAGTGTGGGGTTCAGGGAAATGCGAAATAGTAATGTGCACAAGGATTTAACGAGGAAAAATTCCTTGGCTCAAAGGGATCAAAAAACCTCGACCTCCCTCGGAGGAATTTGAACAACTCCACTAAAAAGCCTTTAAATGATTACAAGGAAAACTCTCCTAGTCTACCCTGGAGCCACCCCAACTCTATCCTCTCTAGGAAGAGTTATGCATCTCTACATTGCGGATAGAGAGCCTCTCAGCTTTACAACACACTAACCAACCCGAGGATGCTACACTTAGCCGATCCTCAATACCCCAATTACAATATGAAGAAAGGAAAAAGAAACTCTGTCTGGAACTCCGTGAGCAGGTTCAGGTGCCTTGGACTTGGTAAATATTCTCATGTATATTTCTCAATAGAAGTTCGGTTAAGCACACCACTTTTGTCTGGTCTTCAGTCCAATATATATAGCATCCGTAGCCTCTCCTTCCCTTGGTTGAATATTTGGACTTTCCTTGATATTTTGAATTACCTTCCTTGAATAATGTGTCTCATACTTTGAGCTAACGGCATATGTCAATTATATTGATAGACACAAGATATTCTAGAATATGTCAATTGAGAAAATATCTAATGCATGCAACGGTCTCAAGGTAATATAGCAAGGAAAGAATATATCTACCTATTATAGCAAGAAGCAACGGTTCACAATAGGTAAGCAATATTCTATTCAAAAGTATTTAAAATATTCAATCATGGATGTAGATAAATTCGTATAGTAGGAGATGCAATCAAATCATATGCTACCAAAAATATTCCTTTTAATGTATTTTGAAAGAGGACCATCAATATAAAGATAACAAGATTACTTTCCATAGTAAGAGATACGTAACATGGCAGCAAATACTATTTAGCTTATTTGAATTTATTTGAATCATGTAAGGAAGCTTTCCATAGTACATTACTCAAATCATGCAACGACCTTAATTTAGCAAGCCACTATTACTTTCTATAAAGTATGAAACACAATTAAGGTTAACTTACTTAAGTGGTGTCCAATCATTTATAAAAAGATATTTCAATAGTGCCCCTTTCATGATTACCTTTTATAAAGTATAAAGGCATAATCATTTATGAAAAGATATTTAAATTGTGCCACTTTCATGCATAACATATCTAGGTATGTAGATATGGCATTATCATGCACTAACATATGTATTCATTTATTCGTTATGTACGTCAATCATTCACACAAAACAGAACTAAGTATAGTTCTAATTTTCGTTCCTGATAGAACGGAGAGAAGTTCTATCCGCTGGTCTACCTGCAGGGTTAGTTATCAGTAGAACCAATGTGCACTTATATCATAGGATAATTTCATCTTTCGTTCTTGTATGGTTAGTCATCAACAGTTCCTTCTTTCGTTCCTGCATGATTAGTCATCAACAAAACTAAATATTCAACAACTATTTATACCGCCAATGGGTAGTTAGATGCGTTGAACCCAGCTGTGGATGACTTGATCCCGACCACCAAACATTCTACATTAAATGTGCAACCACCAGGATCTTGGCTTCCCGCCAAGGGGTGGGGACGTCCGTCCCCATGGGCTTGCCTAGCTTGATCCCGGCCAACAGATCTTCTGCATTAAATGCGCAACCACCAAATCTTATGTATTAAATGCAGAATCCCGCCAGGATCTTGGCTGTCCGCCAAAGGGTGCAAACGTTCGTCCCCATGAGCTTGCCTTCTGTTTCCTGCTGGACCCAAAGTCCTGCGAGATGTGTGTCTCGTTCTGCTCGTAGGCCAAGGTAACATGTCTATGCTAGGATACGTACGTCCCCTGGATGATGGGGATGGGTATGCCGTTGACTTGGGCCTTCTGGGGACGTTCGTCCCCATGGGGCTTGCCTCTTGTCTGCTCCTGGGGCAAGGTACCTGCCTATGCTAGGATATGTACGTCCCCTGGATGATGGGGAAGGGTATCCCGTTGACTTGGGCCTTCTGGGGACGTTCGTCCCCATGGGGCTTGCCTCATGTTTCCTGCTAGGCCAAGTCCTGCGAGACGTGTGTCAGCCGCTGCCCCTGGGCCAAGGTACCTGCCTATGCTAGGATACGTACGTCCCCTGGATAATTGGAAGGGTATCCCGTTGTCTTGGGCCTTCTGGGGACGTTCGTCCGCATGAGCCTTAAGGGTTTATGGGTCAACCCCCATTGGGCCATTAACCCAACGTATTCTTTTTTCTGAAAAGAAAAACCGATTCTATTAATATCATTATGATTCGGATCATTACAACAAACTCAAAGAGACCAACACCAACAACAACTATACGTAACCAACTAACACTATCAATCATACGACTAGACTTAGAAACAATCACACCTGAAAGAGTAATATGAATCGTTAACCACCAAATGGGTGTGCCACGACAATCACTGGCCATATAGATCCTTCTAATGACGTAATATCTAGCAGAATTGTTAATGATTATTGTAGACCTAAAACTGAAGACATCAACGAAAAACATAGCAACTCAAACAAACATAACGCGAAAATAAGAGCATAAAGAATAAAATAAGTGATAAATATTCCAGACATCTCGATCACTCCAAGGCGGCGGTTCAGGAGGAGGGCGGACCTCCGATTTATCTTCTCCTTTACTCAGCCCTTCACCGCTCCCCATTTGTTTGTCATCCATGCTGCCTCCAATACTTCCACCGCTCTCCACCCATGTTGATCCGCCAAAAACCAATCATTTGGTCTCCTCCTCAATTGCTGGAATGGGACAACGCTGGTCTAGATCATACATACAAGTAATGATTATCCTTTCTTGAACTTGATCAAAATGCAAAAGAAAAACTGATCTACAGAAGTGCGACATTGCACCGCTCTCGACACACGAGAGAAAAACCGTAGCTCGCCGAGAGAAAGAAAGTTTCCGAAGTCGAAAAAATAGAAAGATCATGCACCAAGTCTCCAACCGTCGCCAAAGTCTTCTCCCTGTCAAAGCTTGGACTGTTCTCGCGGCAGACGTTCGTTCGAATCAAAGAGCCGCACAATCAGTGGAAGGAAGAAAACCTACCTAGAGGGTAGCGGCGAGCATTCCGAAGGAGTACTCAGCCTATTTTATATACATTCTTTTTACCATGTTTATCATATAATTTTTATCTTCCTCCTATATTTAAGGAAGTTTTATGAGCACTTTACCTTATTTATTTTCTATTTTCGTGTAGTTCATTCATATTACCTCTGCCCCCAAGTCCCCAACATTGATATAATATTGGTTACCAAGAAAAGTAACTTTCTATTCAAAAAAAAAGAAATTTTATGTATATAATAAATTGATAAAGTATGAGTAAAATAAGCAATTTAGAACCACGCAGATCTCAACCAACTTGATTTGGAATAATCTTAATGAGACGAATCAAAAAGAAAAGATAAGGTAGTCTTAGCAAGCAGGAGGGGATAATTTTTATTTTGTTGGTTCAGCTTTTTTCAATCGGTGTATAATTTTAAGTCCAAAATTGAATTAAAACCAATAGAAACTTTTAAACGGAGTTTTCATGTTTAGAAAGACAAAATCAAATATAACTAGTTCAAAAAGTGAACCATAATCTCATGTGGGGAAGGCCTGGTCTAGTTCTAGACCAGCCAAGTTTGGTTTCTGGAAAGTATAGAGTGAACCATAATTGATTAGCCTATCTTGTTCAGGTAATCAGCTCACATATTAGTTCTCAAGTCGAGTCGGGATCGACTTTTACGCCCCCCGAAAAACGGTGTTGAAACAAGTCTAGTAATATTTTGAAGGAACCAAAATTGGACCAGGCTTTGGAGTTTGGACTAATTCTTATCTTGAATTTGAATTTGACCCGTTTTCCAAAAATACAGCCCGGCATGTAGGGATGGACTCATGGACACACTCCGGTCCCGAAGAGTTCCAAGCCAAAACTAGCTGGCTTTTAACAAGAACCAGTCCGACAATAATAGTCGGAACTGTAACCAGGGAGGGTTTACCATCACTGTCCCATGTGGCTCAAATAAGGCACCAGAACCAAACCAGTTCAGTCCAATTGGTTTTTTTATTATGACCACAAGAAAGCAGCTGAAAAGGAGTGGGGTGCATTGAAAAGGGTTGGAAATGGGGGACATGGACTTCGGGGGAAAATAAAACCCGAGATCGGACCAGAATCGGAACCGATCCGTAACCGGAATTATAGACCCCCATCTCGGGCTCCTGTATAAAAATGGCAGAACCAGGCGACCCGGGGACCGGAACTGGCCCGATCCAACACCCACCGGCATGGAACCAATCCCACGACCATGTTCAGCCTGCTGCAATGGAATCTCGGATATAGTAAACTAGGATAAATAACCCGTACAAGTTGCTAATATATGTATTTCTTCCAAAGAACCAAGTCTAAAAAAGACAATACCTAACTTATTACACTCGACCGCCTTAAACTATGGAATACCGAATGCATACCAATAGTTGCCAAATGAAAAATAGTTGCTCTACTTCCTCCGAAATATATAGAGTAGAAACACTAGACGATATTTACAGTATCAGCAAGAGACCTTAGTATACAGCCCAGACCAGCTTTCTCGGTCAGCTTTTCATGAATTCTTAGGCACTGATCACATGTGGGGCGGTCCCCAGTGGATAAGCCTCTGTAGAGATACCTACAAATGACCCAACAATACCCAACTATAAAACTCTGTATGTGCAAATACTCTCTTTGTAAAATACTGTGTTATGAAATACTCTTATCTGTTTATGATGCAATATCCAACTTTGGCAACTAATATGCAAATTCCAAATACCATGCTAAGTTTACAACTATTTTTCTTTATCTGCATTTCATAATCAATTCTTTAGTCTTCAATATCCACTCCATGTCATCTTTAGTATTTCATACTATCGTATCTTATTATGGTTTATTGGACAAAGTGTGTCTTTACATGGACAGCATGAGGTCCAAATGCAAACACTTCTCTTTATTAGACAACACAAGAAGAGTAAAGCTGATTGAAAATTATATGCAAGAAAAGTAGACAAAGTATGCAGAAATAGCTAAGATCTGATCTTGTCATATACAGAAACAGCTTACTAATTAGTGAAATACGAATAACTAACAACAGCATTTAGGATGTAACTCGGTGCCACAATAAAATCTGTTCAATATTATTATGATTATTATTAATATTTCATAAAATATATTACTACCTTCGTGACTTCATCCCACTATCTTTGGGTAGTTGGAATATGAGGAAGTGGCATGCATATTAAGAAAAATTGTTATTATGTGGTTGATATTGAATTTGCAATATATGAATGAATTTAAAACACACAAAAATTACCACATAAGGAGTAGTATTATTAGTACTATTATTACTGTTGTTGTTATTGCTAGTAGCCTAGTACTATTACTAATATATCTAAGAAATAAAGATCGAATTGAAAAAAATCAAGCCGAAGGAAACACATCAATTCCAAAGGAAAAAAGAAAACCCCCTAGGATTCCACTGGTCTGCCCATTCCATTTATCCTTCCTATTCATTCCCACGATGCAGAGAATCATGGTGATACTGCACAACACACTCATACATGCGCACCGTGAGTCCGTGATGTTTTACGCAATCATAAACTATCTCAACTCATTACCATCTCATGATACGCAAGCTCCTTAAACAAAGGGGAAATGTTCAATAGGTGCACCTAAATCCTAATGCCTATTTTTAACCAGGTCTACATATCTTACTATTTGACAACTAATTATATTTTGGGAAAGTCACGCTTTTGGTCTCTCAATTAGTCATCATATTGAAATGTCAGGTCCGAGTTTCTCAGATTGTAAATGTCACCCCCGAATTGACATATATGTTGTAAATGTCGTCCCCGGTGCATTTATTGGTAGTCTAAAATTGGAGATGGATTATAAACGGTGGGGATGACATTTACAACACATCTGTCAATTCAGATGTGACATTTACAATCTCAAAAAAACAGATCTACATTTCAATATGGTGACTAATTGAAAGATCAAAAGTGTGATTTTTCCCTTATCTTCTTATAACCCTTTGGACATGTAAACCTTTTTTAGCTCCATCATTTGCAATGGAGCCAAATACTCACTATTTTTTGGCTTGGGAATATGATGGAATAAAGCAAAATGACTCACTAAACTGTCTGCTCTTCTTTGTTATGAAGCAGCAGTCAGTCTATTCAATTGTCGACGTGATTCTCACTATGGGTCGTTCGGAAACAATCTCTTTGTACTTTAATACAAGGGTAAGGCTGTGTACATCCGACCCCTCTTACCCCACCGTAGGTGGGAGCCTTACGACATTGGGGTAATGATGAAGAATGAAGGACATGTAAACCTTTTCTATCCCTCACTTTTGAGTTAAGAGTTTAAATATAAAGAGAATTGCTTAAAGTACAAAGTCTTCACGTTAAGCTCTCCGGTTGGACTTTTATGTCCAAAAAATACTACACTTTTTTGGCAATGATCAAAAAGTTCACTTCATTAGTTATTACAAAATTTGCTCTGTATTTTTCATCACTTTAGCATTGTTTTGGCACATTTAGAGCCATTGTATCTTAAATCTAATGCACCTGTTCATTCTCATTTGTCACATTGAGACCTCTTATCATTTGATCCCCTAATCAAACGGTCAAAACCAATTGAGTAATGCAAATCCTGGCTTGCGAATACGACTACTTGGTAAATTAGATAACTCTAGACCATGTTATTTCAATGAAAGCAATCTCAAGAATAATCCTGCTAAAAATGTTGGCCTAACTCTCCTACCACTCATGGCTACATTTCTTTCATAATTCCCAATTGAATTTGGTGAAAAGCATAAACAATATTGTAGGCTTACCAAAATATGCATCGTTATGTTCAGATGTTATGGTCACATAAAAATAAAGATTAAAGTCTTCTCCAATGTAGGTTTATAAATTGTTTTGACATTCAAATTTTTTATGTTTGATTTATCATTACATTCAAAATCTCTTCATTTCAATTTGTTCGCTTCTTACTTAGTTACTTGTGCTACAATAACTCTTTCCTGGAGGAACTAACTTAGAAATAACCCAATATACCATTTCCGCACAAAACTCTATAAACTGACCATTCTTATGTTGTCCTAGTTGTTCTCCCTACATTTAAAGTCATCTTAGCCTTTTTTTTGCTCAAAAAAGGGAAAGAAAGAAAAAGTAGAAAGAGTTTAAAAGATGCAATACTTGGATCCTTGGTGCAAAGGAAGAGTGATGGGAACTATTATTTTAGAAAATTTTACATATAATATTGTGTATTATGTTCGATATAGTTTTTGTTGTTATTAAAAACATATCCTATATCTTAGCAGTACTAATGTAGAACAATTTTAACAACATAAAGTGGAAAGGAAGTTATGAAAAATGAAATTAATACTAAATACCCCAAATTGGAGGCAAAATGTGAGGAGTTTGGAGGAGTCCATAGCTCATCTACTTTCTTCCTCCCTCCCCCTTGAACCCCAATAAAAGAGTTAAACTCCTCTACTTTCATCACCTTCTCCCGAAAGTCCTACAACCGAACACGGGTTACGTGTCATGGCGTTATGCTATATATCACTTTCCTAGATCAGGTGTTAACAGCAATGTTGTGTCCACACTTCAAGAATGTCATTGGGAAGATAACATAGTATACAAAAAAGAACAGAAATAACAGGAATATTCTTACTTCATAAGAATATCATAGTACTCGGGATCTAGAGAAGAGAACAAGCTGTCCAAATCCTTTATAGCCATGATTGCCCTATGGACTACAATCCAATTTGCAGACTACAAATATGATCCTCTCAAAATTAGTGAAAATACAATGGAAGATGTACAAACTAAATATATACATATCACTTTTTTGTTGAATTCTCAGAAGAGAGACAAAAAAGTAATAAAAGATTCAACCTTGCATCTTTCATCTTTAGTCATGGGAGGTGAGCCTTCAAGAGCAGTTTTCAGAGCTTCCACGGGTTTATACCTAACAAAAATACATATGTTTAGATAACCAGAGCCTTTTCCTATGTGTATGCAAATGTGCGAAAAAATGGAAAGGGGTCGAGAAAACTAAAGTTACTGTTTGAGTAAGCTTTCAATCTTCCGAGACTTATGCTCAATTCTTGTGATTATAGCTTCTGAATTGTCAGCCTCAACGAATTCCGCCATTCACATGCACCCTAGCTCTCTTTCTCCCTCCCTCTAACTTTCTCAATATCTGCATTATGTGGTGTAGTATATGAACAATAATGCATAGGAACCAATTTAGAATCGGATTCAGTGCTCTGCTTGTATAATCATATTTCTTATTTAGTGGTGGGTCTAGTATTTATGTTTCGGGTGTTCAGAATTACTTTAAAGTTAGAATTGTATGATGCAACAATTATATTTCTACCCATTGATGTACCTTTTCCGACAAAAAAACTAGTAAATGGAGATGCACAGTTGCACACAGGGTAGCAAATTAAAAGCAGGCAGTGAATAAGCACTGTATGAAAATACACATTGCTAAAAAACCTAAATTATATGGAACTACACACAACTGCCAACATAACTACAAAAGAACCAACTTGGCTGATTCACATATTCAACTAGAATGAATAACATCAATTGCAAATTTGCAATTAAATATGAAAATTAGTTAAGTTTAAAATCTGTCAATGGCCCGTTAGACTGGATCGAGTTTAAATACATTTAAAGTTTTAAACTAAATCATAAGCAATCTATCAATCTCTACCGTATGAACAGTGGCAGATCTAGCTATTTCATCCGGTGTGGACCAAAAAATATACCGTTTTTTTGTTTATCAAAATCAAATATAAGTAACACATCACAATAACTCTCTACAAGTTTTCAGTTTTTCATAGACTGATAGGGCTTGATAATGACATCATTCTCAATAAAGTATAATCTTCTTGAAAAAGTAAAGTTAAACAAATTCACATTATGTGTGGCTGATTCTTTTTAGCAACACAGTTTATCAAATATCACAAATAAATTCAAAGAGTCTTTACAAATATCTTAACAAAAATTCTTTGTTTATAAAATTGTATCCCATGAATAAATCTAAAATGGCCCACAAATATTATAGGCGGTAAAATTGTTATAATTTATAACCCATGAATTGATGGATATCACAAATATCATGTGTAATGGGAAGCTGATTCATCATTCATGTACTAACTACTAAATCCATGATTTTTTTTAAAATGTTAACAATAATAAAAAACCTTGATTTTAATTTGGCCTGAAGCGGGCAAGTCGGAATTCACGGCAGATGAAAAACAGGGCCAGTCCTGTATCTTTGAAAGCCTAGGGGTGAATAACTTAAAAGTTAAAACGGGCTAAATCTTTTTAAAAAATGTAAAATATTTTTCTATCTAAACTAACATGTTTAATTATAATATTTCAAGATCTTTAAGATAAAAAACACTTAAATTCCTTAAACTAAACATAGTAGAATCACCAACCAAGGTCTATCTTCACTTTCCTTATTTTTCATGCTTCTATTGTAGTAGGCATTTCAGAAATGTCTAACTTAGCATCAAAAGGATAATTGAGTTGTGTTTCTCTAATAGAGCCTTTTTCAATTACAATATCTCTTGTTTTGGCATCTAGATAACTAGATTCCTCCAACCGGCAGGATCGTAAATATCAAAAAATCAAAGGACAAATAATTGAAGCTGATACATTTGATCCATCCAAATGATTTTTTGATTGCTTACTACCAATATTATCAACTCCCTAATTTTCCTCTCTCATGACATGATCATTCTGAACTATCTCATTTCCGGTAGCTAAATGACTAAATCATTTTCTCCTCTCAGTTCTCATCTTGATTCTTGAGCAGGGCATCCAGAATTTGACTTCTTCACACAAACAAACTTTTCTATCAAACATTTTTTACTTGGGGGCACTTTCTCTAATGTTCTCTTCTTATTCTTCTTTTTCTCCCATACAGATTCAACCATTTTTATTACACCTTGAATTAAATAAAGTTATAAATTTAAATTTAATTGAAAACTCTAAAAAAATAAAAAAAAATTATAACAACAACACTCAAACCAACACTCAATAGATAACTAATTAACTATCAACAATTAAGCATATGAGATAAAAATTTATTGATACTCAACAACCAACAAATCAATTAATTCAGAAATACTAAATTATACAAGTGTAAACATATCAACAACCAAGAATCAGAATCATCAATCATGAATGGAATATTGGTATCAATTAATAAAAGTATACACTAACCACCTAAAGAGTCTAAAGGCTGTCGCTGATTGGATTGATTGGTGAGGGGCTGATGCACACAGGCAGTGAAGCCGTGAAGGGCTGAAGGCGACTATGCACCACGCAGCACCAGGAGGGTGAGGCCTGAGGATTGAGGAATAAGGAATTGAAGATCCAGCAGGCGGCCAAACTGCCAACCGACAAGCGTCGCCGCGTCGGCGGTAGCTGTTCGTCAGTTCAGATTTCGTCGATGTCGCCGCTCGGCTGTTCCGTTAATCGTGAACTCAGGGGTGTCATGTATATGGATATCGATTCTGTCGTTGTGTTACATTTTGTTTTAATTGGACTTTTAAAGAATTAACCAAGGCGGATTTTAAATGATTTGACAGTAGATTTTATTGATTTTAATGAAATTCTATTTCATGAAATCATATGAATTTCAATGTATTATAATAGATTTTAAATACAAGTCGGTTTAAATCCTTACTCTAATTCTCAACCCCACACCGCTTCAAATTGTCGTCGGAATATTTTGATAAAAAAATTATTCATTTTTTTTAAATTCGTTTGGAAATGTTAAGGATAAATTGGTTTCAATCTAGTCATATTTAATGAAAAACCTCAAATTGAAATATACGGAGTAACAAACTACGTAATTGATATTTAATCCAATTTGAATATTGCATTTGTTCATCCTGAGTTGAATGTCATGTTGACAGCGTGGCCTTCAACCATTTCATCTAGTGGCCTGCGTGTGTGTGTGTTGTGAATTTTTCTCATACTTTTTCATGTAAACATTCGTTGGTCTCAAACTCTAGGACATTCGTTAGTTCAAACCTTCAAATAGAGACTGACAAATATATGTTAAAAACAAAAAGGCACCCAGGAGCTTATTGAATTCTCATATGTTACAAACGAGCCATCATCGATCAGAACAAAAAGAAGACAAGTCTGATAAACAATGAATGTAGAGAACAAAGAATTTACCAGGGAAAGGTTGATGAATACCCAGGAGCATCGATTGAGCTGCGGTAGAGAGAGTATGTGTGACTAGTGGTGGACTCGATTCGGGCCGGGTCCGGTTCGGGCCTAGAACCGGCCGGGCCTCGGTTCACGGAAGGCAGGCCCGGCACCGGCCCGGATAACCCCGGGTCCGGTTCGGTTCGGGTCACCCGCCCGGTTCACGGGCCGGGCCGCCCGCCGGGCCTGACCTTTTTTTTATATATATTATATTATTAGAATAATTCTTATTACAATTACAATATATTATATTCGAATTCAAGTATATTTATTTCAAATAAGAAGTACAATTGAGAATTAGGATGAATTTAAAAAATGTAATACATTTTGTAATAAAAAATCAATCGGAATCTCCGCCTTCGGTTGTTTCTTCCATAAAGTGGCGGGTGGGAGTGATGGTAATTTCTTGAGTTCTTCGTTGGGCCTTCAACCAATCGTGAAAGCAAACTAGTGTCTCAAGAGAGCTCGGGCTCAACCTCGTTCTATAATCGGTTAGGACGTTGCCGGCCGCACTAAATTCTTGTTCCACGGCAACGGTTGATATCGGCATTGCTAGCACTTGCTTAGCCATCTTTGATAAAATCGGGAATGTTCTTTCATTTTCCTTCCACCACTTAAGAACGTCAAAGTCATCACCAACTTCATAATCAACATTCAATGTTAGATACAAAGAAAGCTCGTTACCTGAGCTTTGTTCAGTAGCGGGAGTTCTCTACTTTTTTTCAAAAGAGAACCAAAAGCGGATTTTAAAAGTGATTTTCCTTTAGATGAAGAAGATGTTCGTTGCATGGGAGGGGGTGCATTACCATATTGTGCATGAAATTCATTATACAATTGATGAAATAAATTACTAACCTCGTTGAATTCTTGTTTAGGGTCGATGGGATTATCATCGAACTCTTGAGTTGGAAAAAAAGAAGCATAATAGTAATCTATACAATTTGCCAAGTAAGCAAGTTTATAACGAGGATCAAGAACAAATGCAATACCATATATATGCGGAATATGTGAATAATATTTTAAAAACTTTTGTTTCATGAAATCACAAAAATAACTAACGTAAGTGGCTTCGGAAAATTCACAAAAAGCGCCGGCGAGATTAACAGCTTCAACAAAAAATTCGGTTGCGGTAGGTTTATAAACATGACTAAAAGTTAGAGTTGCGTTATTAAAATATGCCAAAACATTAACAATTTTTTCATAAGTGTCGATGTCAGCCGGGTTTATAATATAGTTACAAGTTTGTCTTAAAAAAAGCTGGAAAATGATCTTTATATCTAACAAGTACTTGAATTAAATTATAAGTATTATTCCAACGAATAGACAAATCTTTAGGAAAAGCACAATAATTGACACGTCTATCCTTCAAATATTGCCGCCATTGCATTTTTAGTGGAGTGCTAGCCCAAATCAATTTAATTCCCCCCTTCACTACCCCCCTTCGTCTATCCGGCGAAGAAGCACAAGGTGGCCGATCCCGGTAAGCAGCCCACCTATGATGAGGTCATCATTGTGGACGAGGGGTTGGTTCTGGATCCCTGCCTCAAGAGTTTGTTAATGAGGATTTCTTCGGTCGGGAGAGGCTGGAGGTTGTCGAACCGAGGGGCAGCTTTATTTTGGAGGCTACCTTAAGCCACTCAGTGCTTATGAACCAGGTGATGCCCTCGGGTGACAGGGTAGCCCTCGCCCGGTTGGACAACGAAGCCCTCAGCTCTAAACTCCTCCTGAACAGCGCTTCGGTAAGTTCCCTTCTTGTCCTTGCTTTCATTTGTTCTTTTTGTTTGAATTATGTAATCATGCCTGATCCTTCGTACTTTGCCCCACTTGCAGACTTTGATGGGCCTCTGTGAGCATGTCCGCAGGGTGGATCAAATGCTAAAGGACAAGGCCGCTGCTGACGGGGAGATCGATAGCCTTCGGAGGAAGCTGGCCGAGGCAGAAGACACTCTTCGGTTGGTGACGGAGGGTGTGGAACAGCGGGTGCAAACTGCCAAGGCTGAGGGCATAGCCGAGGCCGGGGTGGCAGCTGCTGAAGCTGCCAGGATCACTGCCGAGGAGGCCGAAAAGGCGAAGACCGAAGAGGTGGCCAAAGCTAAGGAGGCTGCTGTCGAGGCTTTTATGGCCGAGGGCTGGGTGGCCGAAGACAAGGTCGACTGGGTGGCCTCGGTAGTTGAGAGGAGAGTCGACATTTGGGTTGGTGGCCCCGGCAAGATGTGGCTTGCCGTGAAGGGCGAATCTTATTATCAGGGGGGAGTTCTTCACTCAACGTCTCATCTACCAGAAGCTGGCTCAGCATTTCCAGGTGTCTCCGGAGGATTTCAAGCCGGAGGCCTACGGCCTTCCCCCTAGGCAGCCAGACGTCAGGATCCCCCTCCCTCCGGGCGAAGAGAGGCCTATTCTTGAGGACTCGGAGATGATGAGGGAGTGCGGCTTCGGTGATGATGATGAGGCCGAAGGCGGTGCCACCTCTAAGGCCGCCGAGCAAGATTGTACTTAGATAATTTTTCAACCATGTTATGTATAAACACTTTGTAGCTTTCGGCTGATGTAACAAACACTTTTTGAATATTCTTTTGTGAATGAATGCTTTCCGCCTTCGGGCTTTCAATATTTGAATCTGCTTCCTTTTCCTCTTTTGGTGAATGAATGTGTTGTTTGATGCCTTTGTTTCACTTTATGCCTTTTCCATGGTTGTACGCATGTTTGTATGGTGAATCTACCGAGGGATAAACATTTAGGACTTAGAAAAATTTTCTACGTGTTGTCTATATGCAGGCCCTCGGTGGACATCATCTTTTATCCGTAGGGAATGGTCAGCCTCCGTCTTAAACTCCTGGGGGGGGGGGGGGTCCGGTGTTGTGGACTTAGAAAAATTTCCCTTGACTTTACAAGCAGTAATCCTTGGTAGAAAGGTGGGGAGCTGTTTTTGGACCCACTTGTAGAAAGGGAGTCTCCGATGTTGGATGCATTGCCGGAGGCTATCGGAATGTGGACTTATGAAAATTTGAGCCCATGTCAATGAGTAGTCACCTTCGGTAGTGTATAGTGAGCACCTTTGAAGCTTTAGGAATGCATGTTTGTTGTTGATGCCTTTGGTTGATCATGAGTTGACCGGAGGCCAAATATATAGGACTTAGAAGATTTTCTAAGTGTTTGTTTAACCCTAGACCCTCGGTTGAAGCCTCCTTTTAGGTGTGTGAAATATAGTGGCCTTCACCCTAGGCTCCCGGGGGGCCCTAGTAGCCGTCGGTATAAGTGTGAGGTTAGCTGATTTTGACCCACTTGTATGAAAAGAAGCCTTCGGTGTTTATTGTAGGGTCGGAGGCTGCTGTTACTTGGTCTTTAAGCAATTCAACCCCTTTGTGAGATTAGAGCCCTCGGTATTGGTTGATGCCGGAGGCAACCAGATTGTGGACTTAGCCACATTTTGGTAATACTTGTTGAATAGTAGCCTTCGGAATATGGGCCACTGTCAAAGGCGATTTTCTGAATAAGAGCCTTCTGATGCCTTCGATGTGGTCTGGTTTGCCTTGTGAGAAGCATTCTTGCTAGTCGCCGATGGGTGTTTTGTTGTAAATCCACACTCATTGATTGCTCGTTGAATCTACTCCCCTTCACTCCATTTTTTTTATAGTGCAGGGAAGGCTTCAAGAAACTTGGTTCTTGGTAAGGCTTGGCCTATGCGGGAGGCAACAGTATAAGTTGTTGGCTCCCCCTCGGGATTAACCTTCCGGGTTCCGAGGGGATCGAGGGTCGTTTCCTCAGCCCGAGACATAGTCTGTTGCCTGCCTCCCCTTGGGGGATGGCACGAAAAGCGCCTCAGTTTTGAAAGTCGTTCCCTCAACCCGAGACATAGTTTGTTGCCTACCATTCCCTTGGGGTAATGGCGCGGAAAGCGTTTCAGGGAAGGGTTTTATATTTGCATATTAGTTGCAAATGGTCGGGGGCACTTGGTACCCCCGGTACCGATAGGTGGCGCCTTCGGTATATTTGCGTCCTTGAGGGGTACGACTTTATTCTTAACACTTGGTGTTATTTCTCATACACTGTGAAAAAACTTGGTGTTTTTGTTATCGTAGTTGACTGGAGGGTCCACCCTCGGCACTTGGCGCCGGGGGTTTTTGTTTGTGATAAGGCCTTGGGCCAGGAGCTTGTATGAGGGCTTGGCCGCTCACAAGTGTTTTGTTCTTTGTACTTAGCGTCTTCAACGTATCTTTATTCTTGAAAAATTGGGGGCCTTGGGCCACTGGATAATACATTCGTGAGTTATGAGGGCTTGGCCGCTCTAACATCA